TTGTTCTTCCTCTGGCTTCAGGAATGATGGGACCTCCTCCAGGCATGAGACCACCTATGGGCCCTCCTATGGGGATGCCACCCGGCCGAGGTGCTCCTATGGGAATGCCCCCACCAGGCATGAGACCACCACCCCCAGGAATGAGAGGTGAGCTGAGGTTATCTTAAATGCCTAGAAGCTGTAAGAAGCCATAACATAAATAAAACGTTTGGCGGATGATGTGTTTTGATGCCTCCAAAGCTTTGCTAGTTGTCAGTAAATGCCTCAGTGACAAAAAAGGCACGCTAAGGCCGCTTTGAGCATGGTGAAAATGTCCTTCTGGTTTAGCCTTGCTTCCTCTTTCCTTTGTTCCCAGGACCCCCTCCACCCGGCATGCGTCCACCAAGGCCGTGAGATGTTCCATGACGTACTGTGAGAAGACTGATCAAGGGAATATACTGAGCAGTAGTATGGGTCAGAACTTTGCTATGTATATTTTATATTTACTGCTTGTAAAGTTTGCTCTTTTTAATAAAGTTGGAAAACCCAGTACTGAGTCACTGTTGTACCAGTCTTATTTCAGGAGCGCAGCCGTTGTCTTTCACTACTGCACTTTGGTCACCCCAGAAGAGCAGGTTTGAAGCAAAAAGCTCAATTTATATTGACAGCTCAGGAGTTAACAGTTGGCCTGGGCAACGTAGGTCGATACTGGCCTGTGTTCCTTATAGGAAATAAAGCGTATCAATGAAATTTAGTGCTATATGACACTATCCTGTGCAACCTGTTCTACGTGAGTGCTTTGGCAGGGGGGCTGGACCAGATGATCTCCAGAGGTCCCTTCCAATCCCCACCATTATGTGATCCTGTGAAATTTAGCAGGGCTGATGGGAAAAAAAATAAATTGTTGGGATGGCAGAGATGGTAAAAAAGTTCAACATTTTGCTGAAATTAAGTATGGGTTACTGGTCTGCATTCTCCCTGCTTTATTCCCTGTGGAACAAGTACAGTAGAGCCTGTATTAGGAACAGTGAGCTCTGATGCGCTGCATTAAGCTGCTGCTTTGTGTCCTGCAGTAAATCGTCTTTATAGGTGGAGCTGCATTGCTTTGAGTCAGAAGAAAAAGCCAGGATGAGCAAACCTGTCACTGCACACAGCAACGTAAACCTGCCTGGACTCTGGCTGTGCTCTTCCCTTCTTGCCCCAGCTTACAGCTGCTTTAGTTTCACCCCTCTTGGAGAAGATCCTTTCTTGAGAGAGTAGCCTCTTGGAGATTTTAATTCCTGTTATTTCTGAAGTCGTCTTTGTGATAGGTAGTCCTAAACATTTTATTTTTTTTTTTTAGAAAAATTTTATTTCGGAAATAAAATGGATATTTTGTTTTAGAGATAGGCTCTCAACCACAGAAATCCTTTTCAGCCATACTATGTGATCTCTAATTAAGCACGTGAACAAAGCAATAAGCGTTCTCCATTTTTTTGTCCTAAAGATGACTTACATGAACTAAAAATCTGAGAGAACAATAGCGCGTACCCCAGGTCTCAGTGGCTTTACCTATCCCATATAACAGCAAACATTTTAGAAGAAAAAAAATCAATCCTTTATTATATGGGCTGCTGAAGATGTTTTCACACAGGGTCTTCAGCCAGGCATTAACGAACAACTCAAAGGTATTCCGGAACTTGAAGAAAAACTGTTTCTTCTTACTGAAGTGGTCTCCTTGCAGTACAAAGAAATCCAGGCCCTGGGGAGCGCATGTCTGAAATGTCTGCATTGTCCAAATTACACACTTGGTCATTACCAACAGTTCTCACTTTCTCTTGTACCTGAAAGAGAAGATACTTGAAATGACCACCAGCCCAACTCTCCGTGACAACTAAGGAAGAGCACTGAGCATTTTCCAGGCAGTGCTCTCCCGAGCAGAAGCCTAGGAATACGCAATCCTTGATTGGCCCCAACGTCAGACCTGCAGTAGAAGGGTAAGCTCCTTTTACAAGGGCCTTTAAACGACCACAAGAGGAGGAAAAAGCAAGCAAGGAAGGAAAAAACCCACCCTTTAATATTAGAGAACGTAAAGGGAACTATACCTGGACTTGGATTTGAAGTTTCCTCCTTTCCTATGCTGGGCCATACCCAGGCGTTTTCGATCTTCAAATGATGGGCTTTTTAAGAGAAGACAAAAACCACTGAAGTACATCAATAGCACAGGTACTTCTTGCAAGAAGCCCTTACGTGCTCTGCCCACCTTTTTCCCCCAGTACCAGTCAAAGTATCCCTGAGAAAGTCCAGAGATGCAAAAAATATCTCAGCTAGTAAAGTCTGGACTAATGCTAAGACATTACCCGGCACGGTACTGCTTCAGAGCCTTCCTGCTTGTGTTGGTGAGCTCTTCGTCAAACACAGACAGTTTTTTCTTCCGCTTGGGGCCTAAACACACAGACAGCAGTCAGAACGTTGGCTGTAAAGACAAGGCTGCAGCATCATCTTGTTTACTAGAGCCCAGCAGCCCTGACCACAAGAATCTGCCTAACGGTCGGGAAAAGCAATGACTCCTCTCTGCAAACGTGCACCCTGGCCAGCGCTGGTGGCCATCCCTTCGAAGATCAGTGCCTCCCTCTACACAAACGAGTTTAATTTGTAACATGCAACTGACGCAAGGTAAGTCAGCTGTAACACAAAAGTCTCCACCTGCAGGTACTGCTGCTGGTTCCTCTTCTGGCAAGACTCTGGCTCGCTTTGCTCGGCGATTCCTTTTTGCCAGCCGCTCAGCATACATTTGAGATTTCAAGATTTCAAACTGTGACCGCTCCTCTGGCTGAAAGGTGATAAAATGCAAATTTACAGTGATGTGAGGTTTTGCTAAGACAAAACTAGGATAGTCCACCCAGGGTCCTACTTGTCCATAAACGTACTCACCGTCATTTGGGCTTTTTTCTGTCTGTCCTGCATAAATTTCTTCCTTTTCTTTTTGCCTCGTAACGCTAGGTCAAACTCCTGCAGGGCTTTAGCCACTGGAGAGACAAGGACAAAGAAAGAATAAAGAACCTCTTAAACTACAGAGCAGAGACCAGTTGCACCTATGGAATTTAACAGAGCAACAGCGTTGTGACTCACATTTCTCTTTCTTCCTCTCCTCACGGGTCTGGAACCAGCTCCGCTCCAAACCCTCAGCCCCAGGCTCTTGTTTTCCTGTCTCCAGCTGCTTCTTTGCTCTATTGATCTGAGACAATTCATGCAACAAGTGACCTCATGGTGGCAAAAAAATACCTAGCTCTTCCCATTCTAAAGCAGGCAGGTTAAGCGCATTAGTGCCCTTATGCACTCCAGATCCTAAGACACTAAGATTTAATAAAGAATCCTAAAGACCCCCTTACCTGGGCCTCTGACTGCTGCATCTCACGTTCCTCACGCTCCAAGCACAGAACTGCATACACATCTTTCTCTAGATTCTCAATCTTCTCTCGAAATTTTAGTATGACATCTGAAAATTATCAATACAGTGTGAACATCAGAAGCAGCTCGTGTATACTCCATCTTGTTTTTCAGCACCTCTTTTAGTGTCTCTCTGGACCATGACATTCATAGAAACATAGAATCATAGAATGTGTTGGGTTGGAAGGGTCCTTTAAAGCGGATCCAGTTCAACCCTGCAGTGAGCAGGGACATCGGTACGAGATCAGGCTGCTCTGAGCCCCATCAAGCCTGGCCTGGAATATCTCCAGGGATGGAGACCCCCAACACTCCCTGGCTATGGCTCTCCTGTGCTTTACCTCAGTGAAGGGTATACCTTGGGGGAGAATTCTGGCTTTCACTGGTGTTTTGGCAGTCTTCACAATATCCTTCAGCATCTTGCGCTCTTCCTCGCCCACAAGTGAAACTGAACGACCAGCCCTGCCTGCTCTTGCTGTCCGACCCACTCGATGCACGTAGTGTTTGGTGGTGTTTGGCATGGTAAAATTGATTACCTGTAACAAAACAGTGTTAGTAGGGAAACAATATCGAAGGACTCATTAAAAACTCAGCACTGCAAATACTCACTGTTTTAACACCTTCAATATCAAGTCCACGTGCAGCCACATCTGTAGCTACCAGAATATCAATCTGCTCATCCTTAAAGCGCCTGAGCAGAGACAGCAAATGCATTAGCAATACAGCAACCCACTTCTGCCCTAAAACTTCCAACTCCTAACTTCTTCTTTGCCTACGATTGCCAACTAAGCCTGCTAATACCTGAGTGCTTCCAGCCGCTGTGCCTGAGAGAGGTTCCCATGGAGCTCCCCGACCCGCAGGCCCATCAGCCCCAGCAGGATGTGCATGCGGTGAGCTTGCTTCTTGGTCTGGGTGAAAAGCATTACGTGATCTGGGAAGGTTCGTGTCAGCAGAGCTGAAAGAAAATCCTCTCAGGAGCCTGCGTCATCGTCACCTACCGATTCCAGCCCTTCTCTGCTCTTCACTAACCTGACACAATGGCCTCTCGGTCCCCCTCTCGGTTGGGTCTGATCCGGATAAATTCCTGCCGCAGGAAAGGGGCAACATCTGTGTTGCTGTTCACAAAAATTCGGACGGGATTTTTCAGGGAAACAGAAGCCAAATCTTTCACCTACCAAAACAGGTTAAGGAAAAAAGGCCATATAATCCCTGGTGAAAGAACAGACAAGCTTCTATTCCACTTTCTGCCTCGATATGCATCTCAGCAGCCTGTCTCACCTCCTCTGTCATTGTGGCAGAGAAAAGCATTGTCTGACGGTGGCTGGAGCACAACCTGATTATTTCCTTCATCTGTTCCTCAAAGTATTCATCCAGCATCCTACACAGGAGAAAAACAGCAAGGTAAGACAGCTTCATCCGGTTCTAACTAAGAAACATTACTTAAGGCAGGGCAACAAAGATGGCCCTATAGCCCGGGTAAAGGAAAGCAGAACTACCATCTCGTTTTCCACTGCTGTCCCGTTTAGCCTACCTGTCTGCTTCATCCAAAATCAGCACCTCAACACTGCTCAGGTGGAAGGAAGGGCAGTTGTGGAGATGATCAATCAGCCGCCCAGGAGTGGCGATAAGAATGTCCGGCCCAGAGCGCAGAGCTGCTTCCTGCGTCTTCACGTCTAGGCCACCTGAAAGAGCAAGCGTGGGCTGTGACTCCCTGAGCGGGCTGCAGCAGGGTACGCAGACCTCAACTGCTGGAGGAATGGGAAACAACTCAGATTAACACCACTTCACAATAACAAGTGACCCCACCTTTTCTTCCTCAGAAACCAACTGAAAGGATGACACAGTATTGGAAAGTGAGATTTTAAACCCTAGCACAGCTACTAGAAGCATGCCTGCAATAACCATGCAGCCTCATTTCATAACGCAGAATTCCCAGTTCTGTACAGCAGCGTGCAGCGAGCTGTAAGTTCACATAAGCAACTTAATACTCACCGACAGCAAGGCAAGTTGTGACACTGCTGAACTGTGCCAGCTGTTTTGTGACAGAGTGCACCTGAATACCCAGCTCTCGTGTTGGCACCAGAACCAATACCCGTGTTATTGGAGCCTGACGAGGTTTGTAAATCAGGCGCTCAAGGACAGGCAAGATGAAGGCAGCTGTTTTACCTAAACAAGAAAATTAAGGAGAATTACCAATTATTGTGAATAGCTAATTGTCATTGTTTCCTGTGCCCTCTCCAACACCCTACCTGTCCCAGTGGCAGCACAGGCACAAATGTCCTTCCCCAGAAGGCCCACCGGGATACAAGCCTTCTGAATTGGAGTTGGTTGCTTGAAGCCAAGAGCTGTGATTGCCTACAAAGGAGACAGTGCAATTAAACCCTGTCTCTGGTGAGGCCACACCTGCAGCGCTGAGTCCACTGCGGGGCTCATCAGCACAACAGACAAGGACGCACCCAGCAAAGAGCCCCCAAGATCACCACGGGACTGGAGCACCCCACGTATGGGGAAAGGCTGGCAGAGCTGGGGCTGTCCAGCCTGGAGAAGAGAAGGCTCAGGGGGGAACTCGTCCACGTGTACCAATACCTGAAGGGAGGGGGAACAGAGGACAAAGCCAGGCTCTGTTCAGCAGTGCCCAGTGCCAGGACCAGAAGCCACGGGCACCAACGGGAACACGGGAGGTTCCCTCTCAACGCCAGGAAACCCTTTTTCACTGTGAGGGTGACTGAGCACTGCACAGGTTGTGCAGAGAGGCTGCAGGCTCCATCCCTGGGGATATTCAAAAGCTGTCTGGACATGCTCCTGGGCCACCAGTGCTGGGCGGCCCTGCTTCAGCAGGGGCTGGGCAAGGTGAGCTCCAGAGGCCCCTGCCAACCTCAGCCATTCTGCGATTCTGTGACAAGTCTCACTCATGACGGTGTTGACATATCACAAATCAGTTTTCATTATTTGAAATAACAGCTCCTAAAGGACTATCACACCGAGGAATTTGTCAGGTCTAATTGGTGAAGGGGAGGCTGAACAACATTCTTCAGAGTAACATGTGTAATAACCAAACTAGGTAAATACCTTTAGCAAAGGTCTTGAAAGATTCATGTCCTGGAATGATAAGTTATCATCGTATTGAGAGGCATCTTCAAAAAAGCTCTCTGGTTCCTAGAAACAGCAACAACAACAAAACTGGAACAACAGGCAGCAACACAACAAGTTATCAAAGGGCTCTGGGCTAGTTTTTGAGGTACAGTTTGTTAACCAAAGTCAAATTCCTCCAGGATAAATGCTGAAGAATGACCAAGTGTCATTCTGTCCAACACTTACCTTTGCTCCCTTTTTCGACCTCCTCTGTTCCTTCACTTTGATTGTATCTGCAAAGAAACGTGACAGGAATTAACAGGCACAGCTAAACACATAACAAGATATGGTGACCACCTTCACCTCACCCTTTCTGCTCTGAATGAGTTATTGAGAGAGAAGCCTCAGAAACCAGTGCAGGCACGCAATGGAGTAAAATGTCAAGCAAATAACCTTCCTCAGGGACGAGTTCAATTAAAGTACTACAGCTACCATTCAAAATGAGCTTGACAAAAGTCAGAAGGAATGCTACAGAAAGGCTTCACTACAGACTTTTCTCCACCGAGCCAACAGTCTCTCAGATATTCTTGCTCCAAACCATCTCAACATGTACTGCTAATACCTGCTTTTGTGAAGATAGTTTCATCATCCAATGAATACTGAGAGTCGACATCTTCTTCGTCCCTACTGAGATCCTCACACTCCCTCTTTTCAGTATTATTATCCTCAGTCTCTGCATCTTCATCTTTCACTTTTGCTTGTTTAGCTTCTCTTTCCTAGAAAAATATTAAAAAGTTTTAAAAAGGATAAAAAATAAACTTCAGTCCTTTAGGAGTTTTTGTTACTTGTTATTGTAAGCCCATTCACTGATAATGTTGTTTTGCATAACCTTAAGCTTTAACAATTCTGCATTCTCATCAGTTCAGCAATGCATCGGGTGTGCATGCAAACCCAGCCGAGGTGGTGAGCTGTGGCTCAAGCACTGCTGCTCAAGGTGCTTTCAGAGTCTGTGCATCTGCAGGGGACGCAGGAGAAAGTCAAACCCATACCAGTCTTTTCAAGCAATGAGAGAAAAGACCCTGACCTGGAACTTCCTTTTCTGTCTCACTTTCTCAATCTTCTCATCCAGCGTCGTCGCTGCTTTCTAGGCAGGAAATCACAAAGCAGGAGCTGTAAGAGGAGCCCGGGAGAGCCGGGAGCCCCGCAGTCTCAGGCACTGCAGCCCCGGTCCCGGTCCCAGGCCTCACCTTGCCTCGGA